TATTTGATTCAAATAGTTGTTGTTTATTATGATGAAATATTATTTATTAATGATAGTTTAAAATTGAATATGAGATTATTAATAATTAAATTGATTCCACTGATAATTGTTGATATTAATAAAGATGAAACATAGTCATAATGATATTGATGTGTTCTTCTTAAAATAACAATGTAAACAATAACCAATTTCAATAATCATTAATTTTAAATTCAAATACAAATAACAAATTAAATAAAACATTTCAATTGAAAATGATTGAAAATACTTTAATTCATTAGAAATAAAGAATACTGAATAAATTAATTTATTTAATTGTGAACATGATGAAATACAAATTATTAATTAAATCATATTTGATTAAATTTCATTCTTTATTTTATTTATTAAATTAACACCCCCATTGAGTGTGATTCTTTCAAATGGAATAAAATAAAACAAGAATGAAATATGAACATTTTTATATTCATCATTTCATTTATTGATAAATGAAATGTTTATATTCATTTATTGATTTTATTTTATATTCTTTTTTAGTTTTCAAATAAATAATAATGAATAAAAATCATTTCATTTCAATTACAATGATTCTTTTTGATATGAAATGTTCTGGATCTTGTTTTCTACAAAGTGCATTTCTTATTCCTTATATAAAAATGAATGTTGTTTACAATATGATGTTGTTTTATTATGTTCTTTATAAACATAAATATCACTTCCATCACCAAATACAAACAAATAATCATGTGGTTGACTATCAAAAAATGCATTTGCTGATCCTTTAACATCAAATTTATTCATTCATTTGATTCTATCATTAGATTCTAATGAAAATAAAAATGAATTTGGATCATTTATATAATGACTAATTTCGTCAATTTTCACATTAACATATCCTCCAAATTTATTTCCATTTGTGTCTTCAATAATAATTATTATATGTGCTTTATTTATTATTCTTTCTTCAAATACTGATGTATTAACTTTACAATTGTCATTGTTTGAATCAAATAGTATATTGGATACTTTTCTATTTGCTTTTTCTTCTTGCTAAACTGTCTCTTCAATTTTTGTTATTCTTAGTTTTTTCTAATCTCTTCTTTCTATCTTCATAGCCATTGTAGTAACTTTTCATTCTTTTTTCTTTTTGTTAAACTTGCTTTAATTTTCTGAATTTCTTCTTCTAAAGTTTGGCTTTGTTTTGTGTGTTTATTTCTTTTGTGTTAATAATTTTATCAATTAATGCATCCATTACTTTATTAACTGGCTCTTCATCATTACTACACTTTCTCCTATCTTTGTTATTGGTTTAAATTTACACTTTTCTATTTTATTTAAAATTTTTTTTATTAACTTTCTCTTTGATATTCTTCATATTTTTTTTTCCTTTAATTCTATTGATGGTTTTTTATATCATTATCTGGTATTTATGGTTATTTTTGTTCTTTGTCAATGTTTTTTCTCACTAAATTATATATTTATTATATCTAATTTAAATAAAAAGAAGTTAATTAAGTATTAATAGAAATATTTTCTATTGTTCCTTGCTCAGGGGAGACTAATCCCATCCCTCGCTTAAAAGTATTTGTTCTTCAACTATTAGCTTATTCTTTGCTTTTAGTTGTTGAACGGTGAGAATTTTCTTTTCTCATTTTTGATGTGGAATAGAGTATTTTAGACATCCCTTACTTAAATATTCATTATTTAATTTCTTTTTAATTTTGATGGGTTTAAATTTCTTCTTCTTTATTTTCTTATTTTAAGGAGAGTATATAATTACTACTGTATTGCTATGGGCTAATATTCTTTTAGCCTCAACCACTTGACCCTTTTCTTTTGATAATCTTTCTTATATTATCAAATATACTTGTATTCTAACAAGTAATAATAACATCTTTATAAATACCCATTCGTTTATTGTCAATGATATTCTGTCATTGTAAATAATAAACACTGCTATTCTTGCAGTACTGGGTAAGATGTTTTTCTAACCAAACGCAACGCCATAACCAGTCCATAACTGGGGGAATCGAAGGATGGAAATATTTTAGGGTTCTGCGTGGTGTCTCTGACGTGCTACCTTCGAATCCCTTTATTATATCTAATTTAAAAAAAAAAGGAAAGAAAAACACAAAAAAAGAAGAAACCCTAAAACACAAAAGAAAGAAAAAGGGTGATAATTGATAAGTAAAATAAATGAACTATAAAATGTACAAGAGCTTTCTCCATGCCACCTAAACCAAATCCAAATGAAAAGAAAGAATTAGTTGTTAAAGTAGTTGCAGGTGATGCAGCAGCAGGTGCATCTCTTGGACCAAAGGTTGGACCTCTTGGACTTAATCCCAAGAAAACAGGTGATGACCTTGCAAAATCAACATTAGCATGGAAAGGATTGAGAGTAACAGTTAAGATTACTGTTGTTAACAGAGTAGCTACATATGAAGTTATTCCATCAGCTGCTGCTCTTATTCTTAAAGCACTTAAAGAACCACCAAAGGACAGAAAGAAGAATAAAGGAGTTCCAACAGTTCATTCAGGATCTATTTCAATGGACGATGTTTATGAAATTGCTAGAACAATGAGACCAAGATCACTTGCTAAGACATTTGCAGGAACAGTTAAAGAAATTCTTGGAACATGCAATTCATGTGGATGCCAAGTTGATAAGAAATCACCAAAACAAGTAATTGCAGAAATTAACAATGGAGAAATTGAAGTTCCAGAGAATTAATTTAAGTGATTTTTTTATTACCTTTTTAACAAAAAGAACTAATAAAATTATTATTACTCATTATGGATGGTATTACTCCTATTCAATCATTCCAACCGTCTCAACAAGGTCAAGAATATTCACAACTGATAGGCAATGGCCTTATGCCATTTTCTGAAAAAGGAAAAAGACAACCAGGGAATGTGATTTATATGAGTTTGAAGTGTGTAATGACTGGAGGGATTTTTGAAATAATAATTGAAGAAGAGCCTCAGTCCATAGTCATACTAAAAGGTCAGTCTGACGGAAAAGAGTATTGGCTGACTGTGCATGGAGAATTAAGAGTGTATTTAGTTTATTTTTATGACGACAATCTTCAGAGAAATGGAAATGACTTGACTGTGACTATTTGCGTTAGACGAGTTTGTGGAGGCAGGCTTAAATATTCTTTACGTATTTTTGATTCCATTGAGATACCCATTGAAACAATGATTGAGGAAAAAGACAAAGAACTAGTTTTTAAAGGATATGGATTACCGTCAGAGAGTGGATATTCTGTTGGAAATTTAATTGTGAAAATAGTTGGTGTGGATTAAAGTCAAGAAAGATTATTAAAGTTTATTTAAATTAATAAATTAGTTTGAAAATAGTTTCAAGAAAAAACAAAAGATTTAAACTTGAAAAGAAGACTGAGAAGTATCAGATTAAGTTATGTCAGGATATATGCCAATTATTGGTTATGATCAACTTGGAAGACCCATGTACGGAACTACTGTCCCTGGGTGTTGTCCAACTGTTCCTGTAGTTACTACTGCTGTACCAGTTTATCCACCTGGATATGTTGTGCCAGCTGATCCTTATCAAGTAGTATATCCAACTGGTTATACCCCAGCAAATTATTACGGAGGGTTTTAATATTATTCATTGGTAAATGAAAACTTGTTTTAATTAATTCACTCATTGTTTTTGCTTAGTGATGTATAATTTATAACGTATCTTTGGTAAACTCAGGATTGTATCTTTTTGTATCTTTTTTGACGTATCAATTTTTTTTTATTTTTTATTAATAGGTAATTATTTATATGGTTTTAATTTTTGGACGGTGAAGCATATTGAAACTAAAAATTGTGACAATTGATAAAAGAACTATGGCTCTGCTTAAGACTATCTAATAGAAATAACTACTATACATAAAAAAATGTAGTTTAAAGGTTTTATTATGTGAATAAAAGCAAATTCTTCAAGAAAATATTGACTTCAATATTTTTTGTGTTTTCATACTTTTTCTTATAAATACTAAAATTGAATATTTTCTTTTTTTTTTAAGAAGTATGCAACTAAAAAGGAGTAATGGATAAGTGTTAAATATTAAAACATAGGTGTGTTAAGTTTATAGATAAAAGCTGAGATATTAATAAAAACAGATGTCTGTAGATTTCGTTTATGTTCAGTCATCAAAAAAGATTGAATAAAATAAAACAAGTAAACCATTTTTTGTTAGTTAACTTTTTACCATTTTCTTTGTGGAGTTCCTCGAGTATTTTTCATTGAACTTCCTCCTCTATTTGCTCGTGCTGCGATAGCAGCTATTAAAGGGTTTGTTGGGTAATGTGAAGTTGTTGAATTTTGTTGTTCCTTAGAAACCATTGGTTTGGAACGATCATTTACAATAGTCTTTTTTAGTTTTTTTCCTCGTTGGATTTGTGAAAGTAAATCTCCTCTTCCTGATGTAGAAGGAGTCGAAACATTTGGTATCTTTGAATTGTCAATAGGAGGAGGAGGTGGTGGTTGTACAAATGCTTGAGGGGGTTGAGGAGTATTAAAAGTAGACGTAACATACTTTTCTGGAGAATGTTTAATTTCTTGAGGGTTTGAGTTAATTAATGATTTACAAATGTTTAATTCTTTTGTTATAGAAACAATATTTGAGTCAGAAGTTTTTACTTGGTTTTTTAATTCTTTGTAATTCTCTTTAATTTCATCAATAATATTATTTATTTCTCCAAGCCTTGTCTTCATATCTAAAATAATTTTTCTGTTTTCTTCACATCCACAAGATTTTTGAAATGAAGACACACTTGGGGATGTAGTTCCTTTTGACTCATTTATTTTATCAGAAATTTTTCTAATTACATTG